GTAGAAAAGTATTATTTTTCTTGGTTCGAATTGAATAACATTTCTTTCTCTGGATTAACTATTAATCAATCTAGGAATCATAACTCATTAAATTTAAATTAATGCTTCGTATCCGGGACAATTTATCAAACATATCGTTGTCAATTCCCGGGTGACTGGTTTAATTTCCCAGGATATAATATTTTTCACAGAAAGCATTCTTAACATGCTTTTTACAGGAATAGACACCGACACTATTTAAGACACCGCAAAAATAGATAATAAGATAAGTTACATATTCTTATTCACTCGTCTGGACAACTCTAAGGCTGTGGCCCAATTGCCAGGTTAAATGTAACACGTAGTTTAAAATGACAGGTAGAAAGCTATGATTTACCCTTCTATTCTACACACTAAAAAAATCGGAATTTTACTGGTGATGTAAACATCCATGCATGCAAACATTCATGCATGTAAACTTCCTTTTCACGTAAACTAGCAGCTTGCAAGAAATGTTGCAAACAAAGGTGAAAAGTTGCATACAATATATGGAATATTGCATGACATGTCTCATAAATTTACACGATTTATAATGTAAATTTGTATGATTTATGACGCTCCATTTATGTGCATCATAGTAACGGAAATTTACACTACTTTTTTTTAGCTGTGTAGCTTGATTATTATTGACAGACAAGAAGTTCGAGTTTGGCAACCGTGCCTGATTTCTGCTCAAAAATCGGTCAATCGACATCACAGGGATCCTCGAACATGGAAAACAACGTTCGAACTGTCAATTTAACTCCGGGTTAACATTTACAGCTGAACAGCTCTGATCTTCCTGTATGATACACACTAAAGTCCACTGAACCTATCTGTAGTTTGCCGGATTCTCTCAGTTCTGCCCAAATTTCACAGCTTTTCTGTTCAGAAGCCACGTAATCCTGTCAGAAGCTCTCTGAGAAGTTAAACATACTTCAGAGGGTTTTTGGGGGAGCAGGACATTCAGTCGAAGGACGTTTCACCGAAAGTCATTTCGCTTAATGGGTCATTTCGCCGAAGGGCAAGCCATTTTCTACGGTTTTGAACTTTTCTCGAAGCTCAATAAATTTTAAAATCAGTCTCTAAAAAAAAGAGAAGTAGGTTCGATTTTTTCAACCTTGCAAGCTATTCAAATGTAATGCTTCTTTATTTTGAACATGAGCTCCACTGATTTCTGAAATTTGCAAATACCTAATAGATATTTTTGATTTATAGGATTGCTTCCTTCTTTTGAACATGAGCAGTTCTTTCAAATAGAGCTGATTTCAGAAATTTTTAAATAATCAATAATTTTGATTTATAGGAATTCTGAGCAGTTCTTTCGAGTTGCTTTACATGAGAATATCTATTATTTAAATGCATTCCAAATTCATTTTAATTGTTTATTGATTCAATTTTAAAATGCGGGGAAATGATCCCTTCGTCGAAACGTTTGAGAACTTCATAAAGAAGTTTAACGAACTTAATACAGAAGTTCAAGAAAAAATTAAGAAATTCTCATAACACAGTTCGAATAAGTAGTGTAAATTTCTGTTTGGTATGATGCACATAAATGTAGCGTCAGATATCATATAAGTTTACATTATATATCATGTAAAGTTCTGAGATATTTCATGCAAATATTGTATACAAAAGCCCTTTGTTGTAAACAACATTGTTTACAAGTTGCTCGGTTGCGTGAAATGAAATACAAGTTTACGTGAATTAATGTTTACATCATAATTAAAATTCAGAATTTTTATCTGTGAAGTTTTAGAAAATTTGTATAGAAGTTTGGGGAGCTTCCAAGAGAAATGCGGGGAACTTTAGAAAGAAGGTTCTGGGAAATTTCCACAAGTACTAGAACCTTTGCATGATTTCAGAATACTGCATAATATTAAGAAGTTCATATAACTTGTAGGAACTCCTAGGAAGAGATAATGGGAAATCTTTTGAAAGAAGTTTAATTGAAATTTCACATAGCTCCAATAAACTCTGCGCAAACTTCGTGCAAGCTTAGAGTACAATTTCTTGAAATTCTAGGTAATTTGTAGAGTAGTTTAGAAAACTTCAAAGAGAAGATGAATTTTTGCATAAGTTCAGGAAACATTCGATTAGTTTAGGGAATTTCCCATACTGTACTGAGAATTTTGCACAATTTCAAGGAACTCAGGGAACTACGAAAGGGCGTCGCCTGGTTTTTGTAACAGGTGAAGTAATGTTTTTTTTCATGTTAGTGATGAGTCATTAGGTCGAATTCGATCAGGTCCAGCGCCATTAGGCTGAATGCCATTAGGTCAAATTGGTCATCACCTCGAAATTGGTATAAATTTATCGTCGTATTCTGTCATTATTGTTCTTATTTGAATAAACATTGAGAGAACAGCAATAATGAGTGCATAATGAGTTTCTGTTTTCTAAAATCATTGCCGCCCCTATCCAAAAAAAAATGCTCTAATACAAAAAAAGAAGAAACCGGTACCTCATTTCCAAATTTTAAAATCTCAGAAAAATGTTATATTAATATGAGAGCATACAAAATTTACATAGTAAAAGTCACAGCTGATTGAATTCAATTTCAAGTCCAGAATCTTGAAATTTTTACAAAGTCCGGACTATTTCGATGTCAAATATATCTCTAAATTCAATATCTTGTATAGCTCTCAATGTTCCAGAACCTGGTTCAGCTTCCAACGTTTGAAATTCTATCTTCACATGTAGAAATGAAGCACTTAAAAAAAAAAGTCACATAATCATTAAATTTCATGTAGTCTGGAATTTGGTATTGATATTTTTACCTATGTCGGTGTATTTTTTGACGTCGGCATCAGCAGCAGCAGTGCTTTTGGCGCGTGGTGTTGAACATTGTTCTCCAGTACACAACGAAAGGCTGTCTGCAAGCAGCGAGCTGCAGCCCACGTGAGCATCCATAGAAGGAGGAAGAAGCCGTACGGCTATTGATCGGAATCAGTAGCTCTTCGTGAGTCGCTGTGGGCCATCTCTGCCACGCGCGTCACCCTCATTTCAAACAACATACAGCTTAGCAGCCTCATTTGTATTTAACACCCTAATAGCTCAGCATTACTCAACCATCACGACATAACAGCTCTTTTCAGGACCAGCATAAATTTGTAAAAGAGTATTTTTTGGACATTTGTCAATGTCATCAAAAGGATGTCAGTTCCCATATCAAGATAGAGCTGGAATTAAGGCGTAACAGCTTTTGTAAACCACGACTTCTTTCGATGATGTCTTGAAAGTCAAGGCTCGCCCACGCAAATCAACATCATCATCAGGTACGGTAAGACTTTCCCTACCCGACGGTAATGTTGGTTTGCGTGGGCGTGCCTTGAATTCCTAAAAATCATCGAGAGAAGTCATTGAAAGTTCCAAGAATGTGCAACTGCTGCTATAATAAAAAAAAAAATTATCACAGATTTCTAAATTGAGTTCCATCCGGTCTCACCAAACGGTGTTTATTCAATCAATGGTAGGACCTGGGGAGTTTTGGGACGAGCTCTAAAAGAGTTTTAACTAGTCAAATGTGTGAAGTCAGTGAAATATTCCATAGCGCTTGTAAAGGGGATTCCCGGATCCGTGAAAAATACCAAGGGAATCGTATTTTAACTTTTTTTTCAGGGATGGAAAAGAATTCTGTGAAGAGATTTAGGATTCTGAGGCAAATCATAGGGTATCTCTAGAAAAACTTCTAGATAATTTTAAGAAAAATTAAAAGTGATATTTCTGAACAAGATTTTTAGATGAATTGCATGGGAATTCAATAATTCAAGAATGCAAGGAAGCTTCGGTGCATTCTTAAATAATGCTTAAAATTCGAAGATGATCAAAGGAAGATTTTCATTATTATTTTTTGAATGTTCTGTTGTTATATGAAATTTCCAAGGGACTCCGAAAGAGAATCTCAAATATGTTTTAGAAGAATTCCGAAAAGAGATCTGTGAAGAGAAATATATTTAAGGGAAATCAAATCAATCAAATAAAAGCCTGTTAAGTTTTAAGCGAATTTTCATAGCCAAAAGTCTTCCAAAGCTATATACAAGATCCAGAAAAAATGCTCCTGTCCTTATAATGACCAATTTAATCTTGTGGTCTCTTCAGTTCAATCACATTCCCTTTTAAGCTAAATTTAAATGTATATCGCACAACCAGGAAAATAAAAAAAAAATCCGTGATGTAAACGGGAAAAACAGGGTTAATCGGGATTTGCTGGTCACCATGCAATTTGGACTAGTGATTTTTGGTCTAATGACACCCGGTCAAATAATGCTAAGCCTAGGAGCATACACAACATTTTCAAGATATTAGATCTTAGATCTTAGAAGAAAAAATCCAGGACTATAAATGTTTAGCTTTGGAGACCTCGAAATCGAAATAAATATCTTAATCAGGTACATTTTGGACTCCATTATCGGTAGCTGACTTTTTGCCACTTCTATCGTCGGTTTCTACCAAATGACCATTCAATAACGCTAATTAACACCACCATCGTACGGAGCAAAAAATCCTATTTTTTTGGCAATGTTTATTTGATTGAGTTGTTGTTTGCGAGAAATCAATGATAGAAGTGACAAAATGTAGTTGTCGATAGCCGAGTCCTATCTGTACCTATATTAATTATTTTTTAGAATCGGGCTTCCAAAAAGAATCTTGGACTAATGAATTCAATAAGGCTTCTTCCGACAATGTCCTCTGGCAACTGAACAGTTCACATTTTCCGCTCCATTTGGCCGATAAAATAAAATCAAGGGTCCATTATCTCAAATTAGAGTCACGGGGCACGACTGCCATATCATAATGGTTGCGTTCCTTCTGCTTATGCTGACTGCTGCTCTGGATCTAATTGGGGTCATTCGGCGGTTTTCGTTGGATTGAGATTTCCAATTACTGGTTCTCAAGGCGAAAGTTTTTCATAAACATATTAAATTGTACTAACAGTAGGTACGTTTCGGATTGACTTGCAATATGAAAAGGCGAGTAAATTTAATTTAAATCACATTTAATCGTTTCAAACTCGTTAAACTTCGGCAACCTTCCGGATCCATTCGCGTACGCTGGAAACTCGAGCGTAGACTCCCGGAAGATTCGGAAGAGCACAACCCCTACCCCAGGAAACGACACCGAACAGTTTTCCGTCGGAAACCAGTGGGCCACCGGAGTCTCCTTGGCACGAGTCCTTACCACCAGCGGCATATCCAGCGCAGATCATTTGCTCCGTAACCGTGCCAGTACTGGCCAAAGCTTCGGCACATTGTTCCTGATTGTAAGAAGGCACATTGATGGCTCTCAGCAGCATATTGCTCTCCTGGTAGTTCTTGGTATCTCCCCAGCCGGAAACCGTACACATGGATCCATCATCCAGACTTTCGTCAACTTCCGGCAAATCTACGGCCACAATCGATCGACTGAATCCAATACTTTCAGCTAGTTCCAGCAGCGAAAAGTCGTAGTTGATGTTTTCGGTATTGTACTCGGGGTGAGGGTTCACGGATTTGACTTTGAGCACAACGCCACCTTTGGTACGATCGGTAGAACCTGCCCGGATTGTGTACGCCTTTGGGTCCAAATTACCTTCCGTACAGTGCGCCGCAGTCAGTACCCAACGCGGCGAGATGATGGATCCTCCGCAGAAATGCTGGCCGCGTAGTTGCAGGGAAATCTGATGTGGCACTTCGGCGATGTCGATCTGGAAACCACCAACGATCCGACTGCTGGATAGGACTGCAGCTGCAACAGTTGTGGTTTGCGGGGTTATTATGGTAATGAACAGTGCTGTCACAAAGGTTACTTACCATTGCTAAATCCCAGCAGGGCACAGAAACTAACGAAAAGAAGCTGATTCATGGCTGATGCTTGAGTTGTCACTAGAGTCGGTGCACTTTGGGTGGGTTGTAGAGGAAGAGTGTACGTTCCGGTGGGCTTTTATAGTTCTGAACTGAGAAAGTCTACACCATTTGCCGTCTGATAAGGATTATAGCGACGGATTTCAGAAGCATGTGCCCTCTTGAGCTGTAATTACTTTTACCGGCGATGGCTCTTCTCTCAAGAGTGTGGGATTAACAAATCGTGTGTGGACTTTCCTAAGTGTTTCATTGCTTTCGCATGTGTGGTTTCCAGAACAGAATAGTTTTAGCTTAAATAAACTACAGGAATCCCCCGAATAGCGCGGTAGATAGTGCAATCTTCCCACCGCTATTTCTCGGCTGTCCTCCGACCAATTGTTTGTGATTAAGGTCAATTCGACGTGGACAAATTTTCCATATCAGGTGATTCCCGGTTTCGAAAGAGGCATTCTTCAATCACACAACTAGGAACCATCTCAACAAGTCCAATCAAGCTGATCTTTTTTCTTGAGAGGTTCCGGTATCCCAGGAAATAGATCGGGAGCCAATTAAAGAGCAAGCAAAAACTGACATATCACAGCGCTCTCCATAAACCCAGTCCAAGCTTCGACGGTTACATGCCATTAGGTCAAATTGGTCATTACCTCGAAATTTGGATGATTTCATCGTTGTATTCTGTCATTAATGTTCTAATTTGATTAAACAAACATTAATCAGTGCATAATGAGTTCCCATATTTAGCTGTGCCGGTAGTGTCGTGGTAAGCGTGGTGATCTCTCACCCCAGCAGGCCTGGATTCAATCCCAGTCGGCGCCGCCGGGATGTTCTGAGGCATAACATCTCTGATCACACTTTCCTTCGTAGGGGAAGTAAAGCCGTTGGTCCCCGGTTCATGAGTTGATGGGTCGATAGTTATCCATACTGCAGGTGTGGGAGCTGCCTCCCTAGCGTCGGTAGGATTGGTGCTCAGCACGGAAAACAAGATCGACGGAAAACAAATCAAGGAAAAAAATATACACAAACACGCAAGAAGGCTGCCAGCTATTGACATTTAATTTGTCAATATTTCAAAGGTTCTGGTCATTTTGGATGTGGCACTATTGTCCTTAATGCCGTCCAGGCATTGGACTGAATGGTCATTAGCCCAGACTTAAAAAAATGTTTGACGAGCTTCATTACACAGTTATGTTTTTAAGATTTTAAACATTTAGATATTTGCTGTGACTATTTAGACGTTCCAGAATCTTGAGAATTTCTCCATATCCGAAATATTTTTAAATAAAACTACATGAGTCTTGTAAATTTTCCTTAATCCAGGATCATTATATTTTTTAAACATGACATCTAAAAAAATAAATAACATTTTTCCAAATCCTAGATCTTAATTCTTTACTTTTTGTTCCAATATCTCGGAAATAAATTCTTTGTTGGAATCATCCCTTGTAAAGATTTACAGGATTTATTAAGTATTTACTGCAAAATTTGCTTGAATCATCTCAGCATACCCTCAGAGTTCATCTTAGACCTCTGTCTGGTATTTTCTTATAATTTGCTTTATAATACTCTTGAAACTTATCTGCAGAACAATCGTTGAAGTCAATTTGCAATGCTCTTCGAATTAATAATAATTTATGCAGTATTACCTAGGAATTCCTATGAGATTTTTTCCGGTAAATTTAATTAGCGTTCTTCTCAGCATTAACTTTGTATTTTCCAGGCATTCCTATGGAACTTTTCTAGGAATGCCTTTAAAGATTTGATCAGGACTCCCATACATTATTTGAAATGCTCCTCACAATTCCCTTGGCATTCTTCTTTGAATTATCTAAAAATTATCAAAGGAACTTGATTACAATTCTCTTGAAATGTTCCTTGCAACATGTTTGGAATCATCATCGGAATTAAATTCCCACTGAATTTTCATTGGAATTACCTTGCAATGCTCCTCAGTAAAAAATCCATTGGAATTATCCTCAGAATTTTCAATAAATTCATTTTAGAATGTCATTTGAAGTTTATTCCTTCCCTTGGAATTATACTTACTTCGAAAGTTCCATAAGAATCCACTTGCAGTGAAGTAACAAATTCCATAGATTTCTCATCGAAAATTATTTGGCATTCATGTCAGAACTCTCTTGGAATTATTTCTCGAGTTCCTTTGAAGTTTTCCTGGACTTATTTTAAGATTTAATTGTAATCCTCCTTTTAGCATACTCCCGAAGTATTCTCCAAAAACTCCCATGGAATTATGCTTCGGATTCTTTTTCTCCCTGAAACTGTTTGAAATTGTCCTCTGAATTTCCGTGGGAATTCTTCTTTGAATTTCCTTGGAGGCCTCTTCAAAATTACTAGGAATTAACTTCAGAAATTCGTATGAATTTCCATTAAAATTTCTTTCGAATCCTTTATTTGGGTTTATTTGGAATTATACTCAGTACTACCTTGGTATGCAGGTTTTTCATAGAATATTGAGTTTCTCAGGACTACCTTGATAGCAGATTGCAGTTGATCTTTTCCTCACTGTTCTTCCCAGAACTCTCTTAGAATTCCGAGCATGAACGAATGTCTCGATACCTTACCGTATGGATGAGCCTGACCAAACAATAATTCCAAAAAAATGTTCCCACAATACCATTCTAATACCAAATTATGCAAATGCGATACCGCACAGGTATTCTTTTGGTATAGAATATATTTTTTTATTATGTACACAGTATTTTGCATGTATTTTTTTTTTTTGGTATTTGGCTGATCAATACCAAATTTTGGTTTCAGATCAGAATGAGGTATTCATTAGTTATTTTCTCCTGCTCGGGATAAGTTCCTTAGAAATTACCATCCAATTAAATCATGAGCCTTGAAAATTATGTAAGGTCCTTAATCTTGATGTTTTTCAAATTTGTGATCTTGGAAATTAGCTAGGAAATAGGTTCTTGAAAATTTCTCCAAGCATAAATACTTTTAGGATCCCAATAAAAAATAATATTCAAATTTAAAATTTGTGAAAAATATTCATATTCTAGAACTTGAAAAAAAAAATCATGCCTCTAATTTTTTTAAATTTATTATGTTGTTAATGAAGATAAATCCGCCAAACGATATATTAAGTTCAACGAGTGAAAAAAAAATAGCGAGTATTATAATTATTCCCTGACTAATGATGAAATTCCCTAAGAATGCCAGGTTTCTTCAGGATAAATAAAGTTTCCTGAGAAATCCCGGGTTGCCATGATTTTTTTCCTTCAGGTAGTGACACCCTAAATTTCTATAGTAGTGTTTCTTCTTCTTCTTCTTCTTCTTCTTCTTCTTCTTCTTCTTCTTCTTCTTCTTCTTCTTCTTCTTCTTCTTCTTCTTCTTCTTCTTCCTTTTTATATCTTATTCTTCTTCTTTTTAACATGAGACGGAATAATTGTTGGCAATTTGTCCAAAATGGTAATCCTGCAAATTTTGTTCGCAAGTGTTAAGAAATAATATTTAGGAATTTAGTCTTATGACCGTTCGGCTTAATGACCATTCGGCATAGTCTAATGCGAAAAGTATGAATATGATTTTGATCTTTAAAAAACAATCAAGTTCATATTACTAGATTCGATTTTCAGGGTACAGTCGTTTCGAAAAATTAATAAGTGGATATTAGAAAAAAAAAAATCAAAGCGATTTTGAGCAGATTTAATATTAATTTTAGAGATAGCAGCTAGGTATTTCAGAGAAAATGGCCTAGGCCCTAGGACCTAGGGAGTTTTGGGATGAGCTCTAAGTGAGTTTTTATTTGAATTCCATAGCGATTGTGGAGAGGATTAACGGATCCGTGAAAAATACCAACGAATCATATTTTTACTTTTTGTTTAGGGTAGGAAAGAAATTGTTTGAAGAGTTTTGAGGAAATTCCGAGGCAAATTTCAAAAGTATCTCGATAATTTTAAGAAAAAACAAAAAGTAAATTCTTTGAAGAATTCAGAGGAGAACTTCAAGTTCTCTCAGTTCAGTTATAGGCACAAAACTGTGGAATTTCTGTGTGCCAGATATTGTCTTTGTGCTGTTATATAGTTATTCGAGTTCTTCTGACATTTCGATGTACTGTACAGTGAATATGTACTCGAAACGTAGTTTTGTGATATTTTTATCTGTTTGTTCAACTACCCAGTTATATAATTCTCGTGGAGTTGTTATGGTGTTTCCATAATCTCGAGCAAGACTAGCTCTCTTTGCCATTCGCTTGAGAGTGCCACCAATGGCATCACAGAAACCTTTTCCATGAGACGTTGCAAAAAAATGCCATTCTGCTTCTAATCCATGCTTTGACTGAAATCTACACAGACTAGCAAAGTTTTTTTTTTATTTTTTTATTGTGATGCTGCCGCATCTGACATAAAAGTTATTTTAGAAAAATCTATCGATTGTTTAATAAAATCTATCATTTTTGAAATGAACAACTGAACTGCAACTGTATCGTGAGTCATTACTTCTGATATGATAATGAAGCTAACATTTTCATGTTTATTGTCTTTCTTAAAATAAACTTCAAATGGATGTATTATTGCTTGAGAATTATTCCAGTGATATCCTTGAGCAGCGTTTTGGATGAATGAATAATTTTCAGAAAAATCACAAATTGCTAGAATTTTGCCTTCTTTTAATGATTCTTTTTTTATTTCTTAGAAAAGATGACTGTTGTTTGTAAATAAAGTCATGAGTTATAAGTTTGTTAATTTTATCAATGAGATACGGAACAAATTCATCTACAGGCTTGATAATCGTTTCCAAATTACAACGATCAGTATTCAGCCACTGTTGAAACACAACATCTTGTTTGTCATTTGATTAAAATAGCAAAGTAAGTTCCTCTTCAATATGTTCATTGGAAGCACACTTTTTGCAAGTACGGAAAAGTAATCAGTTGTTCTAGTAGAAATATTACAAAGCATTTTTTCTATTATTGCATCTTGTGGCATAATTCTTAAACTGTTGATCATTAATTTTACATTTTCATGAATTGTACAAATACATACATTATGTATACCAGTAGAATCAAACAAAATGCAATGTTTTGGTCGCAATTGTGTAAATAC